AGGAGTTCCAGACCAGCCTGCACAACATAGTGAGAATCCATCTCTATAAAAATGAAAACATTACCAGGGACTCCTTTCTCTGCTTCCTTCTCTGTGAGGAGTCAGACCAGACACCCTGGGGTGCCTAGAGCCGATGTCTGGGTCCCGCCCCCACGTGTCCAGGCCCCCCTATCCCGCATGTCCGGGTTCCCTTGGGTGTCTGTGACCACTTCCTGCTCCATAGTGCCTCAGTTTCTCCCTCTGTAGGCTGTGGGAAGGGGAAGGCCCACTTCTGCAATTCCTAGGGAGCCCATGTGAGCCTGGTAAACCCGAGGGCTGGTCCTTGTGCTGACCGGGCTGTCTTTCCATCACTGGCCCAGCAGGGATTGTGTTCCTGTTCCAAATGACCAAGTGGCTTCAGACGTCCAGCGCTGTCTCTCGCCCGGGCAGGGCATGAGCCACACGTCGTGGATGGAATACTCATTCAATGAGATCCTGGCTATGGGTGGCATCAGGCACGGCTGTGTGTTTAGATCTGTGCCTCAGAAAGCCAGACACTGGGATCTGGCAAACCTGGCAGGACCTGCCTTCCTGGGGCCCTGTCTGCAGTAGGTGAGGGGCCTCCCTGCCCAGCTGGCCTAGACTTGCCCGGAGACGTCCGGCCAGTTTTGCTGCGTGTCAGTTTATCCAACATGTGCCTGGTTAGGTATTGAGGCATCCTTAGAGATTTTAGTCTCCCTACCCACCAGAGATTATGGGTGTCCACATCTGAATTGTGTTGGGAACATCAGACTCAACAGAGCCGTTCTGGACTTGCCACAGAGATGAGTCATAATTCCTGGGCAAGTCTAATCTCGACCCCTGGACTCTGGTCCCTCACACATCCAGTCCTCCCCATGGTGCCACAGACAGTCCAGGCCCAAAGGGAGATGGTGAGGTCTGGTAGGAGGCTGGACTCCTTGCTCTGTGTCCAGCTTCTGCCTCCAGACTCGCGAGGCTGGACCGGCAGGGCCCCAGTCGGCAGGGCCCTGCATGCTCAAGGCCCGGCTCCGTCGACTGGGGCTCACTGCCCCACGGCCCCCTGGCTGCATCGGTTGGGTTGGAACCAACCTGAGATTGTGCCCTTTGCTTTTTTCTGGGTGGGCCCGGGGCCCTGGCCCAGGAGTGGACCGCGAGGCTGTTGAGTGCGCCAGTGAGCTTCAAGTAAGAGTCCAGAATTCCTAGAGCTCCAGCTTCAGGATTGGCACTTGGTTTGGGAAAGACAGCAAGAGCCGTGACCCGGTGCCAGAGGAATGACTTGGGAGACCCCCGTTCTAGCCCATCCTTGTTGACCAAGGCTCTGAGTGCCGGGGACAGACATCTGTATGGTGCCTGACTTCCATGAGCGCATGTTCACACGCTTGCAGAATGCTTGTTCGGGACCTTGTGCTCAGTACACCGTGAATTGGTCAGGCCAAGTGCACAAGTCAGGTCTCAGTGACTTAGCGTTTGATCCTCGCTGTCTCCTCTCGGTTGTCGTGCCTGAAATCTCAAAGCCCCTGATGAAACTCAGGATTAAATCCAGAATGCCCGTTTCCTGTGGGGTGACCCACCTTGTCACGGACACTACACTCAGAGCAATCCTAAAGCCTCCAGATCACAACTGAAGCCATATTTAAGAATTTCAAAACCGGGTGCAGGAGCTTACACCTGTCATCCCAGCCCTTTGGGAGATGGAGGTGAGAGGATTGCCTGAGCCCACGAGTTCGAGACCAGCCCGGGCAACTTGGCGAGACCTCGTCTCTACAATAAATTTAAAAAACTTGCCGGGCGTGGTGGCACGTGCCTACAGTTCCAGGTACTTGGAAGGCTGAGGCGGAAGGATCGCCGGAGCCCAGCAGGTCGAGGCTGTGGTGGCCATGTGCGTGCCACAGCACTCCAGTCTGGGCAACACAGTGAGACTCCAACTCAAAAAACAAATAAACCAGCCGGGCTCGGTGGCTCAGCCTGTAATCCCAGCACTTTGGGAGGCTGAGGTGAGTGGATTGCATGGGCCCGCAGGTTCGAGACCCGCCTGGGCAACTTGGCGAGCCCTCATCTCTACAATAAATCAAAAAACGAGCCGGGCGTGGTAGCGCGCGCCTGTAGTTCCGGCTACTCGGAAGGCTGAGGCGGAAGGACCGCCGGAGCCCAGCGGGTCGAGGCTGCGGTGGCTGGGAGCGGCCGCTGCACTCCAGTCTGGGCGGCAGAGTGAGACTCTGACTCAAAAAAACAAACAAACAAATAAACCAAAGCATTTCAGATACGGACACTGCTTGCTTGTAGATTCTCCAGTGGGGTAACCGCATTTAACTGGCTGGCAGTGGTTGGTGAGGAAACAACAGACCAGGGGGTTTGCTCAGTGATTCTTACGTACTGCTTTCTGGGTAGCATCTGTGAGGCTTCAGTCCCACTGCCTGTTGCTGTGAAGATCTTTCTTTTTGTAGGATTGTTACTTCCTTTTTTAGTTGTTTTAAGGCAGTTCAGAAATTTTTATCTGGAACAGAAAACTATTGTAGGCACAGACCTCCACACACCGACTCGGCTCTCCGTTTGTCCTGGGTGAACTGTGTCCACAGAGACTTGACAAAGCCCTTCCGGGGTGACTGACACGCCCTCCCCCCCACTCGGTGTTCCTGTGGTCGCCCTCTTGTGAAACCCGGTGGGAAGAAGCTGATGACATTGTTAGTTCCTGGAAAACTCCCCCATGCCCAGATTGCCATCTGTGGGTTCACCATGCCTGAAGAAACATTTCAGTGCCATGGTAATGATGGAGAAGTGTCTTTCTTGTTTTATTTATTTTTTTTTATAGAGACGGGGTCTTGCTATGCTGCCCAGGCTGGTCTCGAACTCCTGGGCTCAAGCAATCCTCCTGCCTCAGCCTCCCAAAGTGCTGGGATTACAGGCATTAGCCACCATGCCCGGCTCTTGGTTTCTTTTTTACACTAATAATGCCTGCTACTGCCAGTTTTCGTATTGGGTTATTTATTTACTTATTTATGTATTCTAGAGACAGGGTTTTGCTCTGTTGCCCAGGCTAGAGTGCAGTGGTGCGGTCATAGCTCACTGCGGCCTCTAACTCCTGGGCTCCAGCCATCCTCCCTCCTCGGCCTCCCAAAGTGCTGGGACCATAGGACTGTGCCATCGTGCCCGGCTACTTTATATTGGGTTTTCATGGCTCTGGGTCATTATTTTCCATCGTGGGAGGATGACCACGAATCCAGGGGACACGGTGTGGTTTCTGCCTGTTGACGTCCAGTGTAACTTGCCTGGAAACTCGTGATCAAGTTATCAGTCTTAAAGCTGATCTCTGACAGGCGTGTGCCAGGCAGTCCTGTTGGTCTTCAGGTGCTGAATTCCTGACCACAGGGTGCTTGCCCGCAGGGTGGCTCCGTCACCCAGGTAGACATCCCAGGCTGGCGCTTCCCAGCAGAGGACGGTGACTCTGGGAGTTCTGGCACTTTGACCCCTGCACTTGGCCAGGGTGCATTCCTCTGACTTCTGCCAGGCCCGGGCGGGACCCCCTCTCCAGCCTCTGCCCAGATGACTCAGGGGCACACTCGGGGTTTTGTTGGAGGAGGAGCTGGGGTGATGACGGGCCACCGTTGCGTTTTGGTTTGCCTGAGTGTGACCTTGCAGCAAGTTTGAATTAGTTTTGAACACGGAAACATCGAGAGATTGCTCCATTAAGTCCAAAGGGTTCGCTTCGCTTTGAGGACGGGGCCTGCTTTCCTGGCGGGAGCGATTGGGCTGGGGCCTGGACTTCGTCCCGCGGCGACATGCCCCCGGCGCAGACCCCCGCCGCCACGTCCTTGTTCCTGGGCATTTGGCCTTGTGTTTCCAGCGCGAGAGTGGAGGCCAGCGACTCGAATGGCGCCCTCAGTCCAGCCCGGCTCGCCCTCCCCTTCGTCTGAGGCTTGGCCCGGCGATCACACAACACCTCGAAGAGGAGGGAGGGAGGGAGCGTCCTGCTGCAGGGGCGGGGGAGCCTGGGGGAGCCGAGGGGCCATCTGTGGGGTCCCCCGGCGGAGACTCCCTTGGGCCCGCGTCCAGGTGGCTCAGGCCTCAACTCGGGAGGCCCGTCCTCCCTTCTGGAGTGGGAGGTGTGCTTCCGTGGTTGGAACTCTCACTTGCGTTTGGGACACTCCTGGCCCCCGGCAGGAGGGCCTGCACCATGGGGAAGCCCGTGGGTGACACTCGGTCCTTGTCACTGTTGGCCGTGTCGTGGAGACGCGCTCTTAGGAAGCAGCTGTGCGCCAGAGGCCCTGGCGTACGGTGCTACCTCCCCACGGCTGCTTCCTAAGAGCGTGTCCTCACGACATGTCCAGCAGTGACAAGGACCCATCAAGGCCCAAGTGTCACCTGCGGGCTGCGCCTGGCACGTCTGTCCTGTCGGGTCCCGCCCGGGCTGGGTCCCACACCGTCCCGGCAGTGCCTGCTTTGACTGGGTTTGCTCCCCTTGTTGGAGTGTCCCAATCCGAGGCCCCGGAAGGGCTGGGGGATAGGCGGAGGGGGCAGGGTCTTGTGCAAGTCTCCAGGGGGCTCTCTGGGAGACTGGCGGGCATTGCCTGCCGGGGCGGGGGTGCTGGCACCTCGCAGGTCCACGTGCCGTCGCTGGGGGGAAGAGGCAGCCCTGTGGGTGTCAGGGACAGAGGGGATGGCTGTGCTGGTGGCACGGTGGGGAGTGTTTGCTCACCTGGGCTGCTGTGAGCAGGTGATCGCGCTGTGGAAGTACATGGGGACCAGGCCTCAGAATCCTGTTTTCTGGCCGCTGACTTGGGGGTCTGGGTGTGTGTACCCAGGACGGTGGTGGGGCTTTAGGTGCCCGGCCTGGCCTCCCTTGAGTCTTTGCCCAATCTCATGCCCCACTCCCTTTGTGGAAAACGTGTGTGCCAGCCTTGTGAGAAGGAGGCACTTGGGAACGGGGATGGCAGAGGCCACACACCCCAGGCCGGGTGGTTGTGTGCTGGCTTGCCTGTCCCCTGCCAGCCCCAGGGTTCGTGATGACGCTGAGCTGTGTCCTGAGAAGCTCGTCTCAACCTGGAAACGTGTTGGGAACAGACTTTCAGCACATCCACAGACGCCCGCGGGTCTGTCTGTCTCCGCGCCTGGACAGTGGGCTGGGGGCCATCAGTGAGGGGCCTGGGTGCCCAGCAAGACTCACAAACTCCTGGGCCGGCTCTCAGGAATTCCCGCTAGGGAGAGGTGATATCCAGGACGTTCTAAAAATAGAATCCACATGGCAAGCTGCTGTGTGCCTTGAGCAATGAGCTTGGGTGTGCTCTGCGGTTCTTATATTTTAATTATTTTTTATTTTTATTTTATCTATTTTTTTTGAGTTGGAGTCTCACTCTGTGGCCCAGACTGGAGTGCAGTGGCCGCTCCCGGCCACTGCAGCCTCGACCTGCTGGGCTCCGGCGGTCCTTCCGCCTCAGCTTTCCGAGTAGCCGGAACTACAGGCGTGCGCTACCACGCCCGGCTGATTTTTGATTCATTGTAGAGATGAGGTCTCGCCAAATTGCCCAGGCAGGTCTTGAACCTGCGGGCTCAGGTAGTCTACTCACCTGAGCCTCCCAAAGGCGCAGGATTACAGGCTGAGCCACCAAGCCCGGCTGGTTCTTATATTTTTAGAGACAGGGTCTTGCTCTGTCACCCAGGCTGGAGTGCAGTGGTGCAGTCATAGCTCACTGCAACCTCGAATTCCTGGGCTCAAGTGATCCTCCTGCCTTAGCCTCCTCAGTAGCTGGGACTACAGGTGCATGCCACCACACCTGGCTGATTTTTATTTTTGTAGAGATGGGGGTCACTGTATTGTCCAGGTTGGTCTTGAACTCCTGGTTGCAAGTGATTCTCCCAACCTGGCCTCTCAAAGTGTTGAGATTACAGGTGTGAGCCACTGTGCCTGGCTAATTTATAAATTTTTTTGTATAGATAGAGTCTCACTGTGTTGCCCAGGATAGTCTCAAACTCCTGGCCTCAAGGGATCCTCCTGCTTCAGCCTCCCAAAGTGCTGGGATTCCAGGTGTGAGCCACTACGCCCAGCTAATTAAAAAAAAAATTTTTTTTTTTTGGTAGCTGCAAGGGGTCTCACTATTGTCCAGGATGGTCTGGAACTCCTGGGCTCAAGCAGTCTTCCTGCCTCGGCCTCCTGTAGTGCTGGGATTACAGGCTTGAGTCTCTGTGCCTGGCTACTTTTTTTTTTTTTTGAGTTGGAGTCTCACTCTGTCACCCAGACTGGAGTGCAGTGGCTGCTCCCGGCCACCGCAGCCTCGACCTGCTGGGCTCCGGCGATCCTTCCGCCTCAGCCTTTCAAGTAGCTGGAATTACAGGCACGCGCTATCACGCCCGGTTGATTTTTGATTTATTGTAGAGATGAGGTCTTGCCTGCCCAGGCGGGTCTCGAACCCGTGGGCTCAGGCCATCCACTCACCTCAGCCTCCCAAAGGCGTGGGATTACAGACTGAGCCACCGAGCCCGGCTTAATTTTTTAATTGTTTTGCAGAGACAGAGTCTCACTATGTTGCCCAGGCTAGTCTCAAACTTCTGGCCTCAAGGCAGCCTCCTGCTTCAGCCTCTCAAAGTGCTGGGATTGCAGGCGTGAGCCACTGCACCTGGCCCTACAGTTCCTACGATTAGCTCAGAAGACCCCTAGGCTGTGCCTGGACAGAGTTCCCCTGGGCAGCTGGGGCGTCCGAGGGGGATGAGGAGAGGGGGCAGTGGCCAGGATGCTGTCGCAGCGGTCCGGGAGGCCTGGGCTCCGGGTCGGCTTCTCCTGGGTCAGTCACCTCTGTTCTGGACGCTGCCGGTTCCTGATTCCTTCCATCTCCAGCCACACTCAGGCTCCCGAATCCCTCCGGGGGTGGGGCGGGGTGGGAGGAGACTCCCACACAGCTGAGAGGTGACCCATCCGTGTCCTTTTTCCCGCAGGACGGGAGCAGTTCCACGGCCTGGGCTCCATGTACTGCCGCGGGGCGGCCGCCATCATCCTCACCTACGACGTGAACCACCCGCAGAGCCTGACGGAGCTGGAGGACAGGTTCCTGGGCCTCACGGAGACGGCCAGCAAGGACTGCCTCTTCGCCATCGTGGGGAACAAGGTGGACCTCACGGAAGAGGGGTCCCCAGAGAGCCAGGAGCGGGAAGGGTGCAGCCCCCGGGAGGCCGGCGGTGGCAGCTGCGTCTCCCCCAGGGCCAGACAGGTGCGGCCGGAGGACGCGGTGGCGCTCTATAAGAAGATCTTGAAGTACAAGATGCTGGACGAGAAGGACGTGCCGGCCGCGGAGCAGATGTGCTTCGAGACCAGCGCCAAGACCGGCCACAATGTGGACCTGCTGTTCGAGACGCTGTTCGACCTGGTGGTGCCCGCGATCGTCCGGCAGCAGGCCGAGGGGCCGTCGCGCACTGTGGACATCACCAGCTACAAGCCGCCCAAACAGACCAGCTCGGGGTGCTGTGCCTGATACCTGGGGCCTCCGACTCAGAACCCAGGGTGTCGAGGGCTTGCTTTAAGGCGCGTGAAGTGGAATATCAGAGCGGGTCCCTGAGGGGAGGCCAGTGTGCACAGCCTCCGCCGTCTCTGTCGGGAGGTGGGAGCCACAAATCTTCCAAAGAGACCCATCGACGGAGCCAAAACCCCTGCCAAGCGCCAGCCCTCCCGAGCCCAGCCTCCGAGGCCCCTGGCCCCTGCAGGGTGGAGGCCACTGTCCATGACTTTCATGTTTCTGACCACCCGGAATCCTCGGTGGTGACCGCACCCATGACTTTCATGTTTCTCTTCCCTGTGAGCTGCCTCTGTCCTCCCTTGGTCCTTGTCTCTTGATGCATTTTTAAGAGTGATTCTCAACATGTTAATTTATACCAAATCAGGAATCTCTGTTTTTATACTGATTGCTGCAGCGTGGGCCACACATATTAATAAAGAGGATTTTGAGAGAACCCTTGGTGTGGAGACTGCACTGATGTGGGTTTCGTGTGCCTCCAGCCCAGGGGCCTCCCGGTTGTGAACTTGAGGTTGTAACAGCTCTGCCCACTGCTTCCTAATTCCAGGATATTTAGGTTGGCCCCTCTGCCTGGCTTCCTGTTGACTTGAAAGCCAATAATAGCAGCAAAGCTGAAAGCTCGGATTCTGCCGAAGTCTGGTTTGGGTGCCAAGCTCCCGGCTGCCGGAAGTCAGACAGAGAAGTCAGGCGGCAGCCGTTGTTATTTTCTTGGAAATTTGATTGAATGTGAGCGGGTCAGAGTTGAGGCTCTTTGGGGGAGGAGGCAGCGTGGGGCAGAGGGCCATGGGTAGGTTTTGTGAGTGGCGTTTTGTTTGCTTGCTTGCTTTTTTTTTTTGAGTTGGGGTCTGACTCTGTTGCCCAGGCTTGAGTGCAGTGGCAAAATCACGGGTCACCACAGCCTCGACCTTATGGGCTCAGGCAAGCCTCCCGCCTCAGCCTCCTGAGTAGCTGGGATTACAGGTGTGTGCCACCATGCCCAGCTAATTTATTTTTATTTTTGTAGAGCTGAAGCCTCACGATATTGCCCAGGCTAGTTTTGAACTCCTGTCCTCAAGTGATCCTCTCGCCTCAGCCCCCGAAAGTGCTGGGATGGCAGGTGCACTCTGCCACACCTGACTCATTTTGTTATTAAAAAAATTTTTTTGTAGCGATGAGGTCTCACTATGTTGCCTAGGCTGGTCTCGAACTCCTGGGCTTAAGCAATCCTCCTGCCTCCGCCTCCCAGTGTGCTGGGATTACACCATGCCCAGTGGGTCTCCAGATCTAAAACTTCAGTTTCTCAACAGAGCCTATTGGAGAGTGAACGCAGATCCCGCTGACTGATGACCTTCCATGGCCGAGGCTGAATTGACGTAGCACCAGACATGACGTTTTATTTTCCATCTAGGAAACATGCTACCCAGGGAGGCCTTGGGGATCTTGCTTTGAAGGCTGTGGAGGGAGAAAAAAGTTTCATGTGACATTATTTGTGCAGTTCACACTTGCAGGCAGGGTGGGCTGCGTGAATCCCCGAGACCCTTTCTTTTTTTTTTTTTGAGTGGGAGTCTCTTTTTTATTTTTTGAGTTGGAGTCTCACTCTGTCACTCAGACTGGAGTGCAGTGGCATGCTCCCGGCCACTGCAACCTCTACCTTCTGGGCTCTGGCGATCCTTCTGCCTCAGCCTTCCAAGTAGCTGGAATTACAGCGGTGCGCTACCACGCCCGGCTAAATTTTTGATTTATTGTAGAGATGAGGTCTCGCCAAGTTTCCCAGGCGGGTCTCGA